CCCTGAGACCCCGTCCTGTCTGAGGACACAGCTGAGCCCTGAGACCCCGTCCTGTCGGAGGACACAGCTGAGCCAGGGCCTGAGATCTGGGTTTCCTCCCAGGCTACTCTGAGTTGGATTTAATAAGGCTGCTGAGGCATGTTAATGCTCAACAAGTAGAGAGACATAGCCCCTGTCTTATTTATTTATTTATTTTTGCTGTCAGCAGGCAACTGATCCAAAAAAGAAAATGTATCTTTAGGTGACTCTGGCCAAAATATTAGCCAATAACTTCCAAAGAGGAAGATGGTTTATTCCAAATAATCACCCAGTTTAACCGCAAGACCTTCCTACCAAGCCAACCAGTTGTGGCCAAGTCACCTCCAACTCATGGAGGCCCCACACGTGTCAGCAAAGAACTGTGCTCTGTAGGGTTTTCAGTGGCTGGTGTTTGGAAGTGGACTGCCAGGCATGTAGCAGGCACCGACTGTGTGCCTCATTCTGTTAAGGAAACCTTGTCACAGAGGTTGAGAAAGCAGACTCGAGCCAGAAACCTTAGCTCAGACCATGGATTGTCATTTCTCAGCTCCGTGATCTTGGGCAGGTTACTGAACCTCACTGTGACTCAGTTTCATCATCTGTAAAATGGGGGTGATAATAGCATCTGCTTCATGGGGTTGAGAGTATTCAAGCGTCAATAATACGTGAAGCCATTAGAACACAGCCTGGCATGTAGGAAGAACACCATCTCTGTTTGTTGTTAGAATCCTATAGGTCACATGTCAGCAGGCAGAAGTGACAGGAATAAGTCATTGTAATGACTCGTGGGAAGGGCTGGGTATTGGATTCCTGTAGCTGTGTAACAAAGGGCCGCACACCGAGCATCTTAAGACAACAGAGGTTTATTCTCTCACAGTTCTGGGGGCTAGAAGTTCCAAATCAAAGTGTTGGCAAGGTTGGTTCCCTCTGAAGGCTCTGAGGGAGGCTGTCTCCTGCCTCTTTCCCAGCTTTGAGTGGTTTCCCAAAGTCCTTGGTGTTCCTCAGCTTATGGATGCATCAGTCCAATCTGCCAGCATGTGTGTCTCCCTGTCTCTAGGTCTCCCCTCCTTTATAAGGACACCAGTCCTATGGGATCAGGACCCACCCTCCTCCAGTATGACCTCATGTGAACCTAACTGCCAACATCTTCAGAGACCCTATTTCCAAACAAGGTCACATTCACAAATTAGGGCGTGAGCATATCGTTTTAGGGAACACCAATCGAGCCGTGGCAGGCTACACTCTAGGGCTGTGCAGAAGAGGGATGGATTAGCTCTGCCGTGTCATATGTACCCAGGAGGACAAACGTAGCTTCAGGGTCTCGGCATGGCTTGGGCTGGAGCCTGGGAGTTCTGGCTGGGTAGTTGGACCTGTTATCGGTCACTTGGCATCTCTGGATCTCAAAACTGGAAGGGCACCCGTGAGGTCATTAGATCAGTCTCCTGGGATGTACAAGAAAGATGTGGGGACTCGCCCTAGATAATTATGAAAATACCCACATTTCTGGCTCACCTACTGTGTTCAGTTATTTTTTTAATGCTTTATCTATTTTAACTTATTGAATCTTCCTGACAGCCCTATCAGTTAGCTGTTATTAAAAAACAAACAGTTGCCATCAAGTCATTTCTGACTCATGGCAACCGCGTGTGTGTCAGAGTAGAACTATGCTCCATAGGGTCTTCAATGGCTGATTTTCTGGCAGTAGATCACCAGGCCTTTCTTCCAACGTGCCTCTGAGTGGACTTGAACCTCCAACTTTTGGTTAGCAGCCAAGCATGCTTACTGTTTGTGCCACCCAAGGACTCCCATCTGTAAAAGGCGATGATAATAATCTCTGGCTGCTGCAAACGGTGAACGTGCTGGGCTGCTTACCAAAAGGTTGGCGGTTCGAGTTCACCCAGAGGCACCTTGGAAGAAAGCCCTGGCGATCTTCTGAAAAATCAGCCATTGGAAACCCTATGGAGCACAGTTCTACTCCGACACACAAGGGGTCCCCCTGCTCGGAATCGACTTGATGGCAACTGGTTTACTGGTTTTACGGCTGAGGAAACAGGCCCCTTGAGAGGAAGAAAAGAGCCCAAGGTCGTGCAGCCACGAGCGGCGGAGCCAAACTTTGACCCCGCATTTTTAGAGACTCTGCTACATTTTGGGAGGAGCGGTGGGCTCCCGCCTTCACACCCCCGCCCTTGCTCATCCCATTCTCCACCGCCATCTTTCCGTGAACATAAACCCATAGATTGGGCTGTCACTCCTGAGCCGTGGGGACCCACGTTGGCTTGTCGTTTCCTCACCGCGCTGCATTAGGGGTGGCTGCAGCCAGGACGGTCCACCCACTTCTCCCCTACCCCACCCAGCCGCAGCCACTCACCCTGGCTTTTGATCTGCCCTTCCTGCTGCCCCACCCGGCACTCAGCGCTTATCCTCTTGCGCCCTCTAGTGGTCACACTGACTATTGTCAGTCCAACTGTTGAAGGGAAAGGAAAAAAAAAAAAAAAACCCCAAACCTGTTGCCGTCGAGTGGATTCCGACTCATAGCGACCATGTAAGTCGGAATTGACTTGATGGCAGCGGAGTTGTTTTTTTTTTTTTTTTTGCTTCAGTTCAACTGCTGGCCTAAATTAAAACAAGCAGGGTTCAAAGCCACCATCTGTTGGGCTAGTTGAGTGATCTTCCTGAATAATCCACAGTGTTCTTATCTGTGCTCAGGGGTCGTTATCCTTGCTGTTCACAGGTAATGTTATTAGGACACAGACCAGTGCAGCTCAGCAAACTGAGTGACCGTCAGGCTGGGCTGGGCAGTGGGGACACAGGTGACCCAGTGGGGACATGGGTGACCCAGGCACAGCCCTGCCTTCAAGGACTCTCAGTTCATCAAGGACTGCTGTCCTGTTAGTGCCTCAGGGACAGAAGGTGGGGGGGGGTGGGAGCATGAAGGGAGGGGTCAGTGGGGGAAGGGGAATCAGAGAAGGCCCCAAGTGCGGGGGCAGTGAGGATGTCCAGGGGCCCGGGGGGCCAGCAGCAGGGAGGTATGGGGGATAAGGCTGGCCAAACCAGGCCTGGTCTTGAGGGGCCTGGCAGCCATGCCCAGTAGTTTGCCCTAGAGGTTAGGACTGTGGCTGCAGGGTTGAGGTTAGGGGGTGACAGGACCAAGTCGGCATCTGAAAGCCCACTGTGATGGATTGAATTGTGTTCCCCCAAAATGTGTTGGAATCCTAACCCTTGTCTATACCTGTGGATGTAATCCCATTCGGGAATAGGGTTTTCTTTGTTATGCTGACTGGGAACATAGCATATGTTTTAGGGAATATCCTAAACCTAATCACTTCTGAGTGATCTAAAGAGCAGCCTGGAGCCCTGGTGGTGCAATGGTTAAGAGCTCGGCAGTTCAAATCCACCAGCCGCTCCTTGGAAACCCTATGAGGCAGTTCGACTCTGTCCTACAGGATTGCTGTGAGTCGGGATTGACTCGATGGTAGCGGGTTTGGTTTTTTTGGTCCGGTATTGCTTCTCTCTGCAACTGTGGAGGCAACGGTCCAACTTGAATGGGCGAGAAAACCAAACCAGACCTGTTGCTGTCTAGCCGATTCCGCCTCATGGCGACCCCATGTGTTACACGGTAGAACTGCTCCATAGGGTTTTCTTGACTGTGATCTTTACGGAAGCAAATTACCAGGCTTTTCTTCCATGGTGCCGCTGTGTGGGTTCGAACAGCCAACCCTTTGGTTAGTAGACAAACATAAACTCTTTGGGCCACCCAGGAACCAAATGGGGAAGGATGGCTATAAAAAAAGAAACGTTTCCTCTTTGATCACGTGCATAGATTGAATTCCGCCCCATAGAGCGGCCCTCTGTGAAGCGCTCATTATGTGCTGAGCACTGTACGACGTAATCCAGCGTGAGCTCCCCAAGTCCCCATGAGGGAGGTCTTTGTGAACTTGTCTGTGCTCTGCTCGGAAGGAGATGGGACCCCGGATTGCAACCAATTGTCAATTCTAGGGCCATGTGTTAACCAGACCCCGTAGCCAAGTGCAGACAAGGATACCCCAGCTCACCGTTGCTGTTTTCCCCAGGATATCCTGGGGAGAACCCTGGCACGGGAGCACATGGCCAAGATGATCGAGTGCCTGAAGCTGCAGATCCAGGAAGAGACCAGGTGCCGGCTGGCCGCCATCTCCTGCGGCCTGGAGCTGCTGACGGTGGAGGGGAAGCTCTCCGGGCAGCAGAGGGAGGAGCTGCTGACCCAGCAGCATAAGGCCTTCTGGGAGGAAGCTGAGCACTTCACCAGGGGTGAGTGGGCAGGGCTGTGGCACCCTGGTCCGGGACGTGGTCCTTCTGGAAGGAGGACGAGAGCTTCAGCAGGGGTGAGTGGGCAGGGCTGTGGCACCCTGGTCTGGGACATTGTCCTTCTGGGAGGAGGACAAGAGCTTCAGCAGGGGTGAGTGGGCAGGGCCGTGGCACCCTGGTCTGGGACATGGTCCTTCTGGGAGGAGGCTGTGCGCTTCAGCAGGGGTGAGTGAGCAGGGCTGTGGTACCCTGGTCTGGGACATGGTC